CCCTTAAAAAGTAAAAAAAAAAAAAAAAGAATTAGTAGTCGGAGTATGTAAAGCCACCCTCTCGACTAACACCCCCATTCTCGTCGGAAAGTCTCACCCCTATCAGGCCCGACACAACCCTCTGTCCTTCTCCGGCGAAATCCTGCGGCTGCACCTACGCGGAAACGCACAAACGACACAAACTCTTTCTGCGACGGGCGTCCTGCACGGCTAGCACCGAGATCGACGCCTGGTGCCTGCATACGTAATGTATACGTACATAGATATGCCGACGTTAACCGACCCTACTGGACTGACTGACTGACGGACGAGATAGCGGAATTACGCCCACGGCGGCTGCGACGCCTCTTCTGACAGACGGCTCTTCGTTCTCCGTACACGTACCAACCCTCTATCGCGCTATGCTCTCACTGGCTCTGTTTCCTCTATTATTATTCCTCTATATCTATATTCCGCTTGTATGCGTGCTCTTTATCGCGTGCTACGTAATACATTTTGTACGGTACTGTACGTTCTCTTGGTACTGTGATTAACGTCACGATTTGTATGTACAATGTATGTATGTAGTGCGGATAGTAACGTGGGCTGAGGTAAAATTTTAACGTGGTTAAAAAGCCAGAGTCTCTAGTTAAATGGGACCCATCGATCACGCGAAAGACGTACAGGTTGATTCGTTCGGTAGGAATCGAGCGATTTTATAGGGCGTGTAGAAATTGAGAATTTTCGCTTTTTTTTTTTTTTCTTACTTCTCATTGATCTTAGGACAATACGGTACTGGGTGCTTTCGACTTTTTCGATACGTTATCTGTCTGGCTTTGTATACGTAAACTTATTCAGAGAGCAATGGCGGACGTGCTTCCTTGCGATATTCACTGAGGACATCCCCGAAGTCTTCTCTCTCTTTCTGTCTTATGCGTCCATCTCTCTCTTTCCCTCACGTGCTGTTCCGAGGCTGCACTATTTTAATATTGTAGGCCAGAAATCGAATAAGTTGCCGCCCTGGGGAGAACCCGGGACACTTTACGGGCTTTTACGAAGGGATGAAGATGCCAGGGCACTTTTACGGAAGACTTACTGCTGGAGTAAAAGTGTGTACTCGCGGTATACGTGTATATAACGTGCATTGAATATAAGGGTAGCGTAGGATCCAATAGAGAAACAGATATTGATGCGGAGTCCGTGCGAGAGAGAGAGCAAATTCAGAGAGGAGAGAAAATATGTAAAATAAAAAAGAGAAAGGAGACACGAGATCGGCACGTGGTTAAAAAGCCATTAATCACTCTGTATGAAATAACGCGGCAAAGCCTGTCGGTTTAAAAAAAAAAAAATAATAAATGGGGAACGAAAACAATGTAACCAGGAATTTACCTTTTTTGAGGATAAAAATTGAAAATGTGAAAAAAAATCGCGAAGAAAATTTTTTTTTTCCAATTCAAAATTTTTCACGAACCGAAACGTACATACGTCACCGGGCGAGTTCCACGTGCTTTCACGTAATTTCGTATAGGTCCATCGCACCTGAGATACAACGTCGCGAATGCACGAGCGAGACACGCGGCAACGCGCTACTCTCGGGCGTACCTATAAGCGCCGCGACGCCACCCGTCGCAGCGGGGAGGCGTCTAATTTTGTGGCCAGCCGAGTTATTAACAAACCATCGTCGTATAACCGTTGCGGTCGCGATACTTGTCGGCGCACTTGCTGTCTTCAAAATAATAATAGATCTCCCCGTAGTACACGCGACCCTGGATTAGATGGAAGTCGCGACAAAATGCCAACCCCCTGCGTTAGATGAATTATCCAATTGTAAGCAAAGAATGAGTACAGTACGAATCAAAAATTCGTAATTGGGCCAAACGCGCGCAAAGGTATTATAAATACCCTTGCGCAAGACCATAAGTACTATTTTTTACTCCGCCAACACAACCCTTCCGCGAGGGATGGTCTAAGCTAAGGGATGAAACTTTGCGGTGGAGACCCCAAAGTTTAAAGTAGTAACGCAGCCAAGTAGCCTCACGAAACTGCTTATAGAGTTTGAAGGGCCGATCGGTAACCAGACCCGTCGAGTCTGCCAGCAGACGTCGCGCGCGATGTTGTCAAAAGGTTGAGGGTAGACAAAGACGTACGAAGGGTGGATTCGAGAGAGACGTACAAGGATGGACGGAGGGTTGCGGTATCGGAAATTGACGTTGAAAGTATAGAAGGAAGAAAAGCCCATTAGAGAGTTTAAAGAATTTTTCTTTTCTTCCTTTTTTTTTTCTTTTCTCTCTCAACCCCACTTTCCATCCCTCTAAACACCCTTGCGCGCTCGTCGGACAAGACATGGAGAGTCCTCTTTCGGGTGAATCACTTTAAGCGGAGGTTTCCCGTCCTAAGTGGGCTGTTCAACGAATCGATGATAAATCTCAGATTCCGCGAGGGGTACTGACAGAGGGTTAAGTGGGATTCAACCCTCGTCCCCAATGACGCACCCCTAGGTCCTTCGGGAGCCCGCGGGAATTTCGAAATTCCAGGATAACCGTTTATTATTTGGACTCTCGCGGTCTTTGATGTTCGGACAATTTCGCTGGGTGAAATAAATATGTAAAGGAAAAAAAAAGAAAAAAAAAAAACGGGGGTCGCCGATCGTAAAATCACAATAATTCCATAATACTCGCAATTACCAATTACTAAAGTGCCATACAAACCTCTTCATTATCAATTTTATTTGTATCTCAAAAAAAAGATACATCCCCTGTACCTCGAGATAATCACGTGTCCGATTGACGCGGTCTTCTCTATGATGTTTACATATTGACACGGATAATACATGATATTTCCAGCTGATCCAAAAAATCCATGAACACACGCACAATTTCACATCTACACCTACTCCACAGTGACATTACATAACGATAATGTACACATATCGATATTGCATATGTAAAGATTTTCGTTAAAGCACAAATAAAGCACGGAATAAAAATAAAAATAATAAAATAGGAGGTAATCCATCAACGAGCCAACTACGTCTCTAAATTAAGAGAGATGCTAAAGGAAACATACTCCCGAGCGATAAAGTACAGATTCATGTAAATTAGCATAAGATGCAAATAACTAAATCCCATCTTGTCCCGAGCCGAATTTTCATGAATCCCTCTCACTCCTTCCCACTTCCCCTTGTAACCAGACAAAAAGCGTCGAGCATTGACCAATCCGTCGGGCCTCACGGATCGACACCTATTCAAACTATTTTCATTCTAATATCTTATTAATCATAAAACCGTCAACTTGATTACTTAAACAAAAAAAACATTTACTCTGAATCATTAATTCTTTACTGTATTCACACGCGAATCAGGCGGAAGTCACAAGAACGCGACGTTAAACATAGCGTGAGCGCGTGGTAGACTCGTGAGGCTCTCGGAAGCTCGTTGATAAGAAAAAAAAAGAGATAGAAATAAGAGAAGATAGAAAGAAAGACAGAGAGAGAGAGAGAGAGAGAGAGAGAGAGAGAGAGAGAGAGAGAGAAAGAGAGAGACAGAGTTGGAGAGAACTTGCCGGTTAGGAGGATCCTAAGCGAAGGTTCGACGACGACACTGGTGGTGGTGGTAGTGGTGGTGGTGGTGGTTGGTAGTTGGTGATGGTAATGATGGTTATTTTGGTGATGATGTTAATGATTGGTTATAATGATTGAATTATTATTATTAATGATTACAAACTGATCTTTGATAGATTTCTTTTTTATATATATCGGATGGGAAACCGGATTGGTTGGATTGTCGGTCTTTCGGTAGGTTGGTTGGTGAGAGAAAAGAGAAACAGGTAGGTCTGGACCTGTGGATGGTACGTGGTGCAGCAGGGCCGGGGGCTGACGCGACACTGAACGTAACGTGCCTCCGGGCGAACCCTGTGCGCATGCCTTCGGCGCATCTGTTCCTCGTGATAGGCATCCGGACACATAGCCAATCCAGGAAATGGGATAAGGCAGTGTGTTAAGGCGTGTCTACATATTTCTCAATGATAGGAATATATTATATTGTTTTTTCTTTTTCACTTGTTAACGATATATCTATATTGGATACATATCCGTTACCGCGTGACTTTGCGATACCGATGTTATCGAGGGTAGATGGTTTATGTCATGTGGATATTTATAGGTTAGGCAACAGGTTAGGCTATTCGCTGTTCGAGCTCATTCTAGTGTCAGGTTGGTCATTTAGGGGGAATAATACTTACGACAGGTTTGTTCATATTGTATTTGATAAACGAAATAGTTTTTAAGGTTTGGACACAGCTGTTTTTTATAAAGTAACATTTTAATTATTCGAAGTGAGCGCAGTTTTGAATAGCCATGTTTTTCTATCATCACCATATATATCTATGTACAGAATATTGTTGTTGGTAGATTTTGTATTTTTTATGATTGTTTACAGAGATCAGAGACGAATCGAGATTGTATCGTGAATCAAGGAAATTCTTAAACCACCATTAAAATTCACCCAGCGAACCGTCGAAGTGCTTTGCTATTATTGGCGACGTGACGCCATCCCCTTTTACCTCGCCCCCCGCTCTATCACGGGAAAACAAAACTACACGAGTTCACAAGGAAGAAAGTAAAAGCCAGCCGATCTTCGCAAGGTAAAGTAAGAAACAAATAAAAAAAAGATCACTGGCAACAGGTGAGAGTCTCTCGCAGCAATTTCAAATACGAATATAGTCCACGTGTCCAGTAAATGTCCAATTCGTTTCGTTTTACAGTCGATCTTCGCGCTTCTGGTAAGTACGACAACGATAGGTTACTCGTTCCGCCACGAGAGGCGCCACGCGCGCGTACGATCAGCACGTAACCTCCCATGATGCTCTGCTTCGCGAGTGAGAGAAATCAGAGCGGAGCAATTCGACCTGGCTAAATTGTGGGAATAGCGTGGATATCTCGCGCGGTATGTGCATATAATGGATACAATTGTACTTACAGTGAACTGGCACTAGGTTGCATATCTACGCCTATGTTTATTCGCCTACTGTGAGCGGTCGAAGGAAAGAGACTTTTCTCCAGCAATATCGATGGTGGCAGAACGATACGAGACTAGAGGAACGGAAAGCAGTAAGTGGGCGGTGGGTGGGAGGCGATGGAGATAGGAGGTTAGAGAGCAACGGGGTTGGCCAGGACCTATGGAGGACACTGAGAGTGTAATGTAAACTAATTAGCAATGGAGTCTACGGCAATTAAGGCTGCTAGAGTGCTTCGCTCTGACACTCCACCAACAACCCATACCTGGTTGACAACAAGGTATTAGTATTATGAAGTGAAAACTACACGGGATTCTCGAAAGCGTCCGTTGAAAATTCAATATTTCGTTAAAAGCTGTACTGGCATGGCGCACGACTCATTATAATTAACGTTGAAACGGGGATGGGCAAAATTTTCAATATTTAATTATTTTACACGTCGTACGCGGTACAATTCGTTTTGTATGGTACAATTTCGTTATACATTTTTTTTCTCCCATTCGAATTTAAACCATCATGCTTTCACGTGACGGAGGACTGACGCTACTGTTATCATCGATACACCCGGTATAGTATATAACCCATACCTATAATGGAATCGATCAGCATAACAATCAGAATTCCAGGATACGACATAGGTTTCTGCCCTTCCGGCTAGAAACCCATAATGGCTAAACGGTAAATCGGGAAATTCCATTTATCCAGTGACTTCTATTGGCTCTCGTGCGTACCGAGAGAAACAAACATGGATGCCTTGTCGTTTACCTAAATCGATGTATGTCTTACTGAGAATCGGGCACGTGGCTGATCGCGGGAAATTCTCGAAATGGATCTTTACGTGACGTAAAGAAGAAGTGAAGAATTTGTTCGCGAATCGACGGCACGTGACTGTTTGAGAAATGAGACGATTTAGAGGACGCTCAAACGGAAAACTCTTTTGCAAACAGCTGCTTCTACTTTTTATCTTTTTTTTTTTTATTTGAATTAACGTACCCGAGAGCATGAGTAACCACGATCTGAAAATACTTTCAGGCTGAAGAATGGCGAAGGAGCAATGCTGTTGAAGGATAAACGCAAATGGGCTGAATCTAAGTATTTCATGCATATTACATATGTATGGGATGCTCTGACGGAGATAATTTTTAAATTTGTATTTTTACGCGGGAATTCTCATGCATTTAAATATATTACGTATAATCCATTAAGCGAGTATATCTGTACTAGGCTCTCGTAATGGTACAGCTTATCTTTATAACTACCATTAACAATATTATTATTGAGCTAAGACGGATAATAATATTATTTTCACGAAGTTAAGTTCAATTCGGTACGTAACGCCGCGTTTAATCGAGCGTGGAATTACGTGCTACAACTCTGTTGAGTTTTATCGGTGTAAAAATTTTGTTTTTTATTCTCACGATAAAATATGCCATTGCAGTGATAATATAGAGCAACTTGGAAACTGAGGTTGTCGCTAAAAAAAAAGTGACAGGATCATCAAAACGTATCTGTTTCCAGGAATAATGAACTTTTTGAATTTTTAAAAATTCATTACAAATATTAAAGAATTGATAAGACTAATAATTTAAGATATATCGCCAGCATTAATCAATTTGACGTGACGCAGGCAAGTCGAATTAGAAATACTTCTAAATGATAATGACCTTTCGCCAAGGTCATACAAATTTTTCCCAGTGCGACATCGATCAGCTTCATTAAAAGACTTCAGAGCTTCCGCTTTCGGTAAACCATCTTAGTTTCCCAGTTAATAAGCAGCTCATCGTGTTATCTCACGTACCCCCAGGACACGGTCTGAGCTCGAGCGCCAGAGCGAGAGGTTCATAATCAGGAGTAAGGTAAGTGAAAGGGATGGAATCGTGGAAATTGCAAAGCATTTTCAGATTATATTTTTAAATGAACTAGCGGGTAAGAAGAGACCAGCGTAGCCAGCCATTGAGTCAGCCACCCGTCAAGCAAGACCAGAGCCGGGGGTTCCCGAGGTCGGAGAATCATTCCGGCGCATAAGAATAAATGGTAAAGTGGAAAAATCAAGAGTGAAAATTCTTTTTATAACATTTCGAGATACGTCTCGGAGGGGTAGGTTATAAGTAAATAATAATTTTTTTCTACAGTTTACAAGCCGCCGTTATGCTACGAGGTCCTATAGAGTTACTAGCTGATACGAAACCTGACCTATGACCCTTGGAACTTGCAACTCGTAAAGGACAACGCTTAGTGGCTCACTTGATATTTTTCAACTGCGGTCTGTACCATCAGAACTTTTACTACTGGCAGTTCTGGTGTCGTTACCAACAATAGCCCGTACTACAATGTATCTCTCTGCTGGCCAATTTAACACTGTGACGTTAATAGGATATTTTCAGGTCCTTGGGGCCGACTTTGAAACAAAGTCGATTTAACTGGGCAGTCAAGTGACCGTCCCTTAGAATTCATGAGAGCCAGAAAACGACCATTCTCATAGAAGGAATTCGAGTGACCAGACAGCCTTGGACTACTAGGCGTAACTGGTGCGTTTGGAACGTTAAAAACTTTCCCTTATACCAGTAATTTTGATCGTGTGAATTTTTTTTTGAAGGGCATGCATTCCAGCAGCCGCGTGGGAAGGAAAGGAGAAAGGAGGGAAGAGAGGAGGCTGAATAGCTTATAGTGGAGAACGTGGTGGGACCGGGTCGTCTACTCTCGAGGGTGCTTCCTGGGTGTAAGGGAGGGTTGAAGAAGAGGTTCGCAGGGGCGGCTCGAGCGAAGGGGGGCCCGACAGAGAGAAAAAGGGTCTGGATGGGGATGGGAGGGTCGGAGGATGCCGTGGAGCCAGGTTGTAGAGAACGGGAGAGAGAAGTGGAGGAGTGTCACAATGGCCTGCAGATTGGAGAGGCAGACGTACAGTCCGAGCGCGGTACAGTCAAGCTGAGACAGCGCATAGTCGCAAACTATCATGGACTATAAACTACTGAACGGGTGGTATCCAGCGGGAGGGCCGACCAAAGCCTGATATTACTACTTGTACAAATACAAACATCCGAGATGCTAGTGAGGTTGGGGTTGACAGGGATTCTCAATGTCATAATACACACTCCGAAAAGCCCTTAAGTAAAGTTTTCCCGACGTAAAGCTCACCATTCACTGGATACTATATATATATATATTTCCTAGGAATTTTAATAGTCGCGTAGAAGTGAAAAAAGAAAAAAAATGACTACAAATAAATATCACGTCTTCGATCTACTTGCTCCTGGTAATTAAGTACGATCCTAATGAAGTCCAAAATAGGAGTTAGGAGTTCGTAAATTTTCACAGATTTACGTGAACTCATATTCCCTTAGGATTTTAGAATATAGGGATAAAGTCTGGGACCGCGATTAAACTGGCAAGTCTGGCAGGAAGAAGTCCGTCTCAGAGGGGTTGGTTGGGACGTTTAGATGCCGTGGCTCTGGGGCGTAATATTGATCATGGCATGGGCGGGGGGTGTCTGCACCCTACCGGCGTACCCTCTTGCCCTCTTCCTCCTCCCGCGACTCCGTCGCTCGGGAACTAACTGAAGCGTTGCAACGGGCCCACTCGCTGCATACACGCGCCATCCCCATAACGGGTGGTCGTTAAGTGTCGCAGAAAAATCTCAGTTGCGTATTAGCAACGCTTCGGATGATACTCGTTGAACGCACATGCAGATATTGGCCTTGTGGGAGAATAAGGGAGTTTTCGATGAAGAAAAAAGTAAGTTTAAATTAAAAAAAAAAGAAATACGAACAAACTGCATTCGACGCATAAATGCATGAATGAACTTTGACCTCTTGACTCGAGTGTAAGGGAGACGGATAAAATCGTATCTAAAAATATTTATTTAAATTTTTAGTCGAAGGGACACGGAAGAAGATTCTTAACGGCCGATACTAATGGATATCGATTGCGCGTCTGGGTCCCTTTAGGGAGTTACTTATATTGATCGATCATCGATTGATACAGCATTCTCATATTTGAGAATCCCCAAGGAGTCTTACCAGAGATATGACACTGTCGTACAATTTTTGAATAGAACTGTACCGTGCAAAGCAGGCTGAGCCTGCGCGTGTACAGGCCCTACTTGCTGGCTATATATGTATATATACATAAATGCAGGTGCAGGCCCGGTGTGGGTGACGTTGAAATAAAAAAGTCTTTTGCAAGAGGTGTACGCGGGGATTCCGATGGAGGAGAAGTACAATATAGCTGGAGCTTGAGACCATAGAAAAGCCGTCTGGCTTAAAGGGTCTGGTTCAGGACGGATTCGCGGATATACCAACCTAACCTAAACCTAAGCTTTACGTAGTCACCCTTATATACTATACGTATGCGCGTAACGTGTCTCCATAGACCCGCTGACCTGCAAGACCTTAGCCCTTCGGTACCATCGGAAACCGCGTTTCACTTACCCATCGAACTTTGCGAACTTATAGCACCGAAGAATGGTGCATTCGAATGCATAAGACAGATGCAGATTCGAACGAAAGATAGACAGGGTGAGTCAGATGTAATAAAAAAGTGAGTTGCAATAAAAAAAAATATATGTAGAACCCTTAATTACAAGCCAGTTTAATAGGAAATTAATCCTGGACGTACGTGTATGTCCCACGCACGCGAAACCAACGAGGAAATCACATTTTCGTTATTTCGAGGACCGAGAAAAAAAAAGATAAAGTTTTCGCGCATCAGCGCATCCCCGAGATTGCAGAATTGCGAAGGCACTCATCTAGACGTCGACTACCAGGGACGAAATCAACGTCATCTCGACTGGGACGAAAAAGAAGTGTTATGGGAGTTTAAGGGAGAAGCAGGCAGGTAGCTAACCCCTTATCAGAATACCTAAACGTTCGAGGGTAGATAATAACGCGGGTCAAATTATTCGGCTTTCAAAAATATTTCATAATTTTTTTTATCATTAAATATATGGATTAACTTCAAGCCAGGTACAGAGCCTCCTATAAGTTTAGGTTCGAGCGATATACCAGGTGACGTTTATTCAAAGCGATCATTGCCAGTGGATAATACGGGGTTTGGGCATCTTCCAAAATCTTCCTTGTACCAGATAGCCTATACTAATTATTCGACCTACAGTGACTTTTAGTTTGATACCATTGCACGATTCGGGCAGGGGTCCAAGTGCATCCTACGTCCAAGTAAGGCAAATAAAAACGGGGACCGATGATACGATAGGTGGGTGGATGCGCGAGGGGTGGTTTAAAATTTTTGTAAAATACAGGATATACATAAAAAAATATATTTTAACTGCATTTCACGTATATGACGTTTTTGCGGGGAAAATTGAGGGGGAGCCAGAAGGGATGAAGGGGGTAAAATATGAGAGGTGAAAAAAAAAGGTTCGTCGAGGTGCAGAAGGGTGCCAAAGGATGGGGACAGGGCAAGGGGAAAGGGGGGGGGGCGACGGGGTAGACGGATGGAGGGGCTAGGCGTGTAGCCGAGACCTCTCCAATTACGGCTTAGTGCGCCCGCCACCGAGTGACGTCAGCATTTCATTAATTTTAATTAAATATCCTTAATTTTTATGAGGACCCGTACTGACATCCTTTCTGACGTCCTTCCCCTCTCGCTGTCGCACACGCTCCTGTGCGGTTCGAGCCTTTTTTTTTATTAACTTTCCTACCTCACCGTTCCCATCATTGCCCTACCCCTATCAAGCCAACTACTACGTAAAAGCGTCGCGACGCTAAAATCTCACGAGGAAAATATGTACGAGACGCTGGTGAGTCGCGATTCCTCGTGACTATGTACTTTGACGGAATTTTCAGTGAATCGGGGACGCCGCGTCGCGACGCCCAGTCACGTTTTGCGATAAAATCAGTTTACGAGACCGATGCAAATTAGTGGGACGCTTCGATTAAAGGAAGCCTCTGCATAACCTCTAAATGGAAAGAGATACGGAAAACTGCAAAAAAAAATTTCGTTCAAAATCAGATTAATTTTTAGGGTTAATTTTAATCAATAATTTTCAGACAATTTTTGAAAAATTTAACTACCATGAATAATCCCGCATGTTTCCCTTTTTCTTGCTTTTTTTTTCTGAATTACCCTGCTGGACCAAGTAAAAATTTTCTCTCCCCACTTCTCTCGGACCACCTACGTTATTACCAAAAGTCCAACAAAAATATCGACGATCCTGTGAAATTCCTTCGAAATTCCCGATAAGGAATTTCTGATAGGTCTGACGGAGATGTGAAATATCTACTAGCAGTGGGCTTTTCTGCACCCACCAAATCTACTAAGAGTGCCAGCGATATATAAATTCACACTGGGTATACAGGATCAATGCATGATACACGTATATATACTATACACAGCATATATAATACGTGCAAAAAGTACACAAGGGTTAAAAAAACTGATGAGCATGCCGAACACGGGATAGTTAAACCTTCGATTATCATATTAACGATCTCCTTCCAGGACGTGATACAGTACCGCGTCGATTTGCATCCTAACCGAACCCTTTCCGATAACCCGACCTAACCTCACCTAACACACGTCCAAGCGACCGATTTTCCAAGATGGCGTTAAACCGAGCGAGCCGCGCTTTGCTCGTCCACTGTAACGTGACCCGATCTGGTCTCCGTGAGGTTTACACGTATCTGTACCATGTGCCACCATCCGGAACCCTACGATACAACGGGTGCGAGCCATCCCCTTCTGAAATATACGCTCCAATGAGAACATTCCCTTGGAAATCCATAAAAAATTTCAGTTCATGTATATACAGGGACTCGCGTAAGCAAAGTCCAATATACAAGAGAAATTCCTTATTTTTATGCTTGTTCAAAAAAAAATATATAGCTATATTTTTTTTACCACGCCTCTCTGCTCTAAGCTTCTACGTATCTGTTCGTAATGTATTCAAAAGTACCGATTTCGCCAAGTAGAGTAAACCCGGCGGAAATAGGTACGGAGAACAGTGACCAACCCCTTACGCCTGGCTAAAGGTACCAAGGCGAAAGTCAAACAGAGTCCGACTGAAAATGGACCTGAAAGACAAACTCAAACTGCTCGAAACAAGCGTATAGGGCTAATACGCATACATAGCGATACCACGGAGAATACCTATATGCAATAGGTAGTTGAACTTTTTATAGAACTTGTTTTGAGTTACTTTTTTACAATTTTTCCCTGCAGAGCTTATACCGGGTCGTATAGGAACAACGTGTGTAAATAATACGCGACTGATACAAGTAAGGGAATAATAATAATATTTCTGGTACAACGCCCATGTTTAGCTACAAAATGTTGGTACGAGTGAATATATGTAAAATGAACGAAGGAGTAAAGGGGGATGGAGTGTGTGGGGAATAAAAATAAAGGGTGCACGAGTAAATAGAGGGACGATGGGCCAAGGAAAAAAAATAAATGTAGATCTGCGCGATGCTAAGGGGGTTGCATCTTCCGGAAGATTGGGGTGGAGGGTGGATAGAGGGTGGGTCGAGGAAGGGATGCACTTGACGATAGAACCGAGAAAAAAGTCTCTACGAGGTATTTTAGCCAAATCCGATAATTCAATTTCTCCCGGTGGAAATGCTCAGCGCCTGGCATCCTGAATTTCATCCCCTATATCTGATTTATCATCTCTTATTTTTTGTTCTCTTTGAATTTACTTCTGTCATATTTTTTTTTTACGTACCTCCCTTTTTTTGTATCATCTTGGGGAATATCGTCTTTTTTCCAGATCTTATAACCTGGGGGTGAATGGTGAACGATCCTCGAAGAAGGTCCTGGATTAGGTAGGGGATGCATGAGGAACATTTATATCCGGCACGTACGCCTCTAATGGGGGATTATATCAGCCATAAGGAGCGTTTATAACGGCAGTTAAGCCAAGTCTTGAGAGGAGCATCACGCAGAAGCATTTATGCGCCAGGATGTGCCGCTCGTTAATTAAGGTGCAACGAGTGCGACTTAACGTCCACATAATCTGTAGGACGGTACTGAAAAAAAAAGAGCGCGTACTGACAGTGTGCACGTAGCTTTAATTGAGCTTGAATGAGTGTTACTCTTTTGAAATTTAATTCCTTAAAGAAAAGCGTCCAAGGGGGTCTGAATCGCATCACGGAAAAATCTTTTAACAGATTGCAGGTCGCTTACTTACCGACAGAGACATAAGAAGATTCAATACGGTTGAGAATATTCAAGGTTCTTTTTTCTTCTATGGGATACTTTTAATTACGGTCTAGTGGGGTTGGATTAATTATGAAAAATAATGTATACGGTCTAAAGGGAAGTATCTGGTTATATACGCGAGAGGAAGTCCAGCGAGAAAAAAATGTTCTTATCGTAGAAGGCAAACTTGTCTCATACTTAATTTGACTTCTACTTACTATTCCGTCTACGTGTTACACAGTCTCGGCTGGTGTTCGGAATTCGTGGCAAACTCAAATCCAATTGCCAACCATTGGTTTATGGAGACAACGTGCCCTCTGATAGTCTCTCTGGACCAGAACGAATCTAGTTGTACGGACTGCTAACTTTGAAACGGATTTAAACAGCGAAGTCAAATGGATTTACCTGTAGCACCCAAAACGTAGAGCCATAAGTATGAATAAGTGAAATAAAGTCCATTAATCGAAATTAAAGAACGAAAAAAGAAAATTAAATTGTAACAATCTCTGGGTTATGAATACTTAATGGGGATGAAATAAAGGAGGAAAAGGGTTGTGAATAT